ATTATTATTATTATTATTATTATTATTATTATTATTATTATTATTATTTATTTTTTTCAAGACAGATGTTAATATTATTTTGTTTGCCCTCCGACAATTGCAGATAAATGCAGACATACATAAAAAGTCGATCGTAAAGGCCGTCATGCCAAGCCAAATTAACTCGATGCCCAATAGCTAGGAATGTTTGCCTCTAAGTCAACAAAACTTTGGTCGAAACACTACTACAGCTGAACTCTAGGCACGAACCTTAGATGGAGAAAAACGAACAAAACCCCAACCTCATCCACCCGAAATCAAACAAAACTCGGCCTCTTCCCTGGTACCGCTGACACCGTATTGAACAGAAATGCGCTTTCCACCGAACGAAGTGGTTAGATTGAAGCTGTTCTGTTCAAGTCTTCTTGTGTCCACAGAGTTTTAGCGTGCCAGAGGGAGCGTACCGCAGGGACAACTAGCGAGGTAGGTGGAGAAGGCTTCTAGCGGTGTCCCAGCCTCAGTAGCTGACAGGGAGTGGAGTCTTTTCTTGCCTCCTCTTCCAGTTGAGGAATCGGGCTACACCAGCAATGTTGTTGTTGTTGTTGTTGTTGTTGTTGTTGTTGGTCACTTAGCACATACATACAACGCGCTTTGAAAGATACGGACACCTCCTCAAGGAAGAAAGACATTGTTGTTATAGTCTAAAGGTAGTCTTGGTCTGAATATACCATTATTTATGAACGGGTGAACTCAGTCTTACGAAAGCATGCATGCGCAACACCCACAAAAAACTAAAACCATTTGTACGGAGGAAGTGACCTATCAGCCCCAAATCAAATGTGTATACCCTTAGAGCGCCCAGCAAAGTAGTACGCGATCACCAGACCTCGCCCACTACTACTCACACCCCAGATGAATCCTCACGATCCGCCGCTCGTTGCCGGAGAGCTCTCGGGACTAGACAAACATGTGTACTTGCAGGCTGTTGCAGGTGGCCAGCACCGCTGTGCTAGATGGGCATGGCTGCAATCAGTAGTCTAAAGCCCATAAAGTAAGAGGTTATATATGGTCCGTTCGGGCAAATATTCACAATCATCTTGTTTTTCGCGATATCTTTCGAAAAAAAACGATTGGAAAGTGAAACAACTTTGGGCGTGACCGCGGCGTCGAGCTTCGTCGATATCCGATGAGTTTTTGGTGATTGGGTGAAATGCGACATTTTTGACCAAAATGACCCACGGAGCCCCCACCCCCCACCCCCTCATGACCCCACGGAGCCCCCAAAGTACACCACGACCCCCCCTCAACCCCTCCCTTCTACACGTATATGCCTTCAGAACATCAGTTAAACCGTTGTCAATCCATATTTACATTATTTACACGTTACATATGTACATACATACATACAATACCGCCGTTTACTTTCTACTCAACCCCGGGCTGGTGAAGGTGCTGCAAGCAAAGCATGCAGCAATCACATCCGTTCTCTCTAAGCAAGTCCGATACCAAGAGAGACAGCTATAGCGTTGAGTTGGTGACCATGACGAACGCCTCTACCGCGCCTAAACGCGAGAAACCAACACTACAACACACCGCGACATATAGATACGTACCCTCCCCACTCACGCCTGAGCGTGCCCGCCCAACCATTTCCTCAAAAAATTCATCGTGTTGCGCAAAATCCACAGCCGTAGCTGCTCCTTCCGGGAGCCTCTCTTGCTCGTCCACGTGTTGAAGGCTTCCCTGGTCGCTGCCATCGACTTCTTGGGCACTTCCTGCGCAGCCGCAAGCGCCTTCGCCTCGGCTGCCTTCTTCTGCTCCGGCGTCTTCCCCGCCCCCCTCGCCTGAATCACGGCATCTCCCCTGGCGGTGGCTTCTCGGTGCTTCCCCCACTCCTTGAGATCGCGGTACTCGAGGTAGTCCTCCAGGCCCTCGTCGTAGGCTTCGATGTACAGCCACGTCACCCTGCTCCATGCGCGGATAAACCGTGCGGGTACGCCGCTCAACGCGCCGGGCAAGACCTGGAGCATGTGGCGAAGGGAATACTCGCAGTGGAGGCGGAGGAGGTGCTTGATGTACCCCCAGTATCGCTCGATTGCGTTGAGCTCTGGGTGGTACTTCGGCAAGAAGATGCACAGGTGCCCGTGTGCCTTGAAGAGCTTCTCAACCATGTTGAGCTCCTCCCTGAACGCCTTGAGCTCAGACAGAACGCGCACGACGCAGCAGCGACGCCTCTTGCCTGCTTCACCAGCTGCCCCGCTCCCACCCGAGTCCCCGTCCTCTCCGCCGTCCTCCTCTCCCTGCCCCGTGTTGTCCACCACCTGCTGCCGCCCCTCTCCACCGCGGTTGAAGGCGGTAATGGCTTGCCTTGTTGCCGCCTTTTCCGCCCTGCACGCGCTGCACTCGTGAACGCGTAGGGTTGGCTCGCCTTCCCACAGCCCCATCTCCATGAGCAGCTGCTTCCCTCCTTTCGGCAGGCCGATGAGAACGGCGGTGGGGCCAGTCGTCGTCGTGGTCGTTGGTGTGCATGGGAGAAATATTGGCGCCTTCATGGTCGGAAGGGAGGAGAGTCGTTGCCTACAGCAGGGTCCGCAGGGGGCGAAGGGGCCTTCCGAATCGTGCCGTCGGCGTTCCTTGGCAGCTTGCGCTTACCCTTTGGGCGACCCATGTGCCAGGAGCGCGTGTGCGTCTTCCGTTGCGTGCGTAAAGGGTGTGTGTGTGTGTGTCCTCTGGTGTGTGTGTGGCGGGAAAAAATTCCCCGAGGGCGTGTAAAACCACCCGAAATATCTCCGAAACCCGAGTTTTTTGTTGAAATCGAGAAAAAAATCATCGGTGGGAAATTACGAGAGGAATCGATTGCAGCACTTTATTTTTGAATCGTACGGTTGGATTGTCCCTAAGAAACTAAACAAAATACCCTCCAATATCCGTTTTGTTGCCCATAACACCGTTGTTATTTTTTGTCAAATTGGAAATCAGAAAAAAATCACCGGTGGCAAATCACGAGAGCTGTCCAAATCCGGTCTCAGATTATGTGTCTGCAAAAAACACCGCCCTCCAGAAAGTAAGCAAGATTTCTTGAATATCTGAACATATCGAGCGAAGGACGAAAAAAAAAAAAAATCTCCGTCCGAAGATGCGCCTTGAAACGTCGATTTACGCGGTATTTTCAGATTTCGGAATAAGTACCCCCACCCCGAGAAAAGTGCACCTTTGTGCAGGGGAAAATATTGTGAATATTTGCCCGAACGGACCATAGGTACAACTAAAATGGATGGAGAGGCTAGGGATAGGGGCTGGCCCAATGTCTGTGTGGGTCTGTGTGGTCTCTAACCATTCAAGTGACAGAACCCTGGGTGTCAAGAGGAACTGTCCAGAGAGGATTGTACATGGGACCCCAGCCTACAAGCACCGCTACCGACCTGATGGTAGCTAGCTGCCTCTCGATCAGTACCACCGAGTTCGGTAGATGAGCCGGAACAGCGGTAGAAGTGAGCCTCGAAGGTGGCTTGTGACAAGGAGTGGAAGGTCTCCGGTCGTGGATACGGTATTCGCTTGTTGACTATTGCTAACTCAGGGCAAGCAAAGAGAAGTAGTATGGAGAAGTCAAGTTAAGGCAAGGAGACTGAGCAACCTAGCCTCTAGACGGGGCCCGGTAAACCGGACCTTACTGCTACTACCTGTTGGGAATAACGCATTCTCCCAAAGGTGCAGCTCCTATCAACCGTAACAATGTAACCGTAACACAACTACAGCTATGCTAAATATGAGGGAATGGAGGACTCCAGAATATCTGTCGTTGATTTCTATTGACTTGCAGACCCCTCGGGGCATTTTTATTTGAGTGTACCTTTTTAGGGTAAGTCAACCTGCGACGAAGGGGATTGACCGCGTCGAGTGTTGGATCAGTACGGACATACAAAGGTACCGGGTAGAGAGAGATCGGAACGGTTTTTGATGTGAACACAACAACAACAACAACAACAACAACAACAACATACAAATGATGTAGATGCATGAAATGATACCCGTTGTCTTTACTTTTGGTCCTAAAAATAACTGGGAAAGGTAGCCATACCTTCTGCCCACACACGGGCGGGAGAGGCGACCATACCCACTGCATTTAACACACATCCACATGTCTGTGATGAAACCCCAACCACACGCCTCTATCGTCGCCCACGTCAGGAGGCAATGATGAGATGATAATGTTCTCCCGTGCCCTTCTCACATTGAACGACATGCCATTACTCAACAAAGTAAATAAGTTCTCCCGCGCCGCACATGCCCCCATACATCACAAACAAAAAATAAGTTGATGACGAAACTATACACACCCCGAGACGCGCTTGCTCCGCAACCACATAAGGGTGCCATATTAGAACACCCGACAAACCAACTTCCCCTAAATCTTCCGTCTACGACTTCCTCCCAACATAACATACAGATAGATACACAAGATGGCTACCAAACTGCCTTGTTGAGCCTGTTACCCACAGGGGAGTTATCGTTGAATGCTGTCTGGGAAACCGTAGACATTCAGGTAGCCTTTCGCTCACGCTATGGATTCATTGCTAATCTATCTTAGACCTATTTGTATAGATTGAGATGGATTTGTTGTGTGATATAAAAAACAACAAAAATACAGTTTAAACGTTACACAATCCCGGCCCGCACTTAAGAATATGGCACTTAAGAATTCGACGCTCAAAAAATCCAAAACTCACGAATTTACCAATAGGAGCACGTGCTAGCTGCACGCCCTGTTAGGAACAAGAACACACACCACCTGAGGTGCAAAACTGCTGCTACAAATAAGAAGGCAGCAATGCAGCGGCTGCTAGATAAGAATACTCGCAGGGGGAGGGAGGGAAGAGGGGGAAGTGATCCCAGAGTACAGTTTATTGGATTTGGGAGGGGTACATATATATCCCACATATCAACATTTGTATTTTTTTAGAGGGGGAGGGTGGGCATTGTACGCACGCGTTGTGCCCCTGGGTGCCCCCGAGAAAAGCGTGATGCGCGGGCGGGGTGAACTCCCGAAGGCGAGGTCCATTCTCATCATGGACAACTTGCACGCGCAGACCACGGACGAGTTCAAGGAGTATCTTGCGAAGCACTGCAACTCTCTCGCCTGGTATGGCCCTTCGGAGAGCACGGAGGAGGTTTAGCCAGTTGATTCAGGAGCCGGACGATTTCTCAATGTGTAAGTCGGGAGGCAGATGGACATATGGCTCGGGCAGTCGGACAACCTCGAGAGGTGGGAAACCGCGTCGCTGACAGCTTCTGATCGGCGCGTCCTGATCACTCAGTGGATGGGAGCGGCCATGGCAAGACTCAAACGCCAACAGGCGTATCGATACCGTCTTTTCGAAAAGTGCGGGATGGCCATGACCGTGGACGGTTCGGGCGATGATCGAATCACCTTGGAGGGTTTGGACAAGCCGTATAACTTCGCTAACGATGAAGACAGTAGCGACGACGAACAAGGTTCGGAGAACGGCAACGATGAGCCTGAGGGGCGGGCGGAGGAGGGCGATGGAGGAGGACGTGAGACGCTCATAGAGGGCGTTGACTCAAGCCATGAAGACGACGGCGGTAAGTTTGTTTTGCACAAAACCAACTCTTCATCTTCTTTTGGTTGATGACGATGTCCTTCATGTTGACGCTAGCTTGTTTCCGCGCACGGCTACACTCAAAATATGGTAAGTTCAGGTTGAGTTTGGCGACGTGACACCCTAACTTCTTGTGTTTCCCGTTGCCTCGTTCGCGGACATCTCTCAACCCCAGACCAACCAGCTAGCTCTTCTGGACGACGACGACAGCATGGGCCCAGAAGACCCGGAGGATGAGATACAGCGAATGGAGATCCCGGCAGCCTTTCGTATTCAACAAGCTAAACCCGTTGCTCTTGACAGATTGCTTTTGCGGCGTGGAGTGCTCGTTAGGCTGGGCATGGGGTGGTTTGGAGGGCTGATCACTCAACAATCTCAGAAGGACACTCGCCACCTGTACGACTACTGTGTGCAGCTGGAGCTAGACCAGAGTACGCGCAAGATGAAGTTGCCCTTGGACAAGTACAGCGGAGATTCGGACGCGGCTGTAGGTTCCTGGGTTTTGCTTGAGAGCATTAGTAGATCAGGAAGGGTACGCAGGACCAACGTCACCCTTGTGGACCAAGAAGGTTGACAGTTGCTGCTCCATGCCTTGGTATTTTCTTGTATCGAAAGCAGTACTAGTGTTGCTCATGGTTGACAGCCGGCAATATAGCCAATGATGTTAAAATACTGTAAGAACAAGAAAGCCCCTTTCTGGAGAAGAATGGACGACGAAATAAGAACTTGGCAAATAAGAACTGGTGCTCGGGTTGGGGCAGTCAATAAGAACTGAGCCTCGCCCAATCTATAGGAGGTTCTTAAGTGCGGGCCGGCACTGCTGTACTATAGGACACCTACTTTATGTACATGAATAGGCCTACGTGGTATATAACAGCTCTCCCCCCCTCTCCTCGCCCCCTTACTTTGGGGCTTAAACCAGTTTGGGGGTGTGCTTCACGTATTTGAATCCGCGTGCCCGCTTGCCTCCGCAGAAAGATAGCGGTCTCTTGCTTACCACACAAGCATACGCCTTGCCTCACCCTCCCGACATTTCGTGCCTTTAGGGACTATACATAGACAATGTTGGCGTTCGGTCTTACAAGCTGCACAGCTCACCCGCAGCACAAGGCATGGGGTTTGGCAAGGTTACTGTAGTGCTTTCACTGGTAGAGTCGGGAGGGGTACATGCTGTTTGTAGCTCCGCGACGCTGTGCACACGTGACTACTGCTGTAGCGTCACTTCTACGGAGGGGTAGTCGGTCCGTTTAAAACGGACCGACTTTTTGTCGAAATTTTTGAAAGTGTCAAAAAATGGAACCTGTATGTAGGCGTTTGTCAATTTAAAAAAAAAAAATTGGAACGAAGTTGGGCGCAAAAACTTTGCTCCACTTCGTTCCAACTTTTTGACAACCCTCTCAAAAGTATTTGGAGCACTTTCCAAAGTACCCTTGCAGAGGCACGCGAGGGCTGCTGCGTCTGCACTACGAGTGCCCCTCACCGTAGAAAGTCAGCTAGGGTTGTGTGTGAGTCATCTGTCGCTGTCGCTATTGCTATCGTCGCTGTTGCCAACGTTGACGATGCTGTCTGCTGTTGCTGTGTCGTCCGAAAAACGGCGGTCCGCCATGATGGCTTGCAGTTGTTGCTTCGCGTCCGCCGCTTTGTTTTTTCCTTTTCCCGGGGGGGTAGGAGCAGTGGTTGCCACCCCTCGCCGGCGGCCTGCTCCACCCTCGCTCTGAGTGTTGGTGGCGGCAGCGCCTCCCGTGGTAACATGAGTGTTCCCCGAGATGCCAGGCAGCAGCACTATCTTGCTGGAGAGCAAGCCTCCACCGCCTACGGCGGCACCGAGAGAGCCCGTCTGCTGGAATTTCGCCGGGGTTTTGGTCTGCCGGCCACGCTGGGTGGTCGTGATATCCATGTCGGTGTCCATGATGTCGTGTTTTCCGCGGTTTGTGTTGTGTCGTGTGTGTTGTCTCGAAGTGAGCGCTACAACTCACGGACGGCGTCATTTTTTTTGACACAAGTTGCACAAGTCCACGTCACACGATTAAAATGACTGCACACAGGTTCCAAGTTTTTGAAAGACAAATGTCGAAGAGGCGGGGGACCATAACCGCTTGTTCAGGGGATGCCCTCTATAAGGCCGTCACCGGCCTTCCGCCACCGGCTCTACGGCACAGTCGGCGCCAAGCGATTTCACTGGCCTTGTATCGGGCAGGCAGACATACTCATGCCGCCGTATAGCCCTCTACTGCTGCAGGAATTCATTAAGACAGGTCACCCAAGCTGGGACACCGGAACATAAACTACACTTCGAAACACAAAGGGCCAAGAGGCGGATATTGCGCTTGAGGCATTTCACGACGTTAGCGGCAACTTGTCAGGTTGTCGTTACATGTAAATACACAAACCCTTCACTGCTATATCCGTTGCTGGCTGCAACGGCCCGAAGGTCCTGGATGGTCTGTGTTACCCGCATCTCACTCGCTTCCCACCGCCGCACCTTGCTTTCCGCCTCGATTTGGTTGAATTCTTCCCGAACACGCACTTCGTTTCTGCACTCTCCTCTAGAGTAACACCACCGACTTCAGGCTGCTGTTGAACCGCTGCAACGATATCTGCAACGGTTCTTGTATGAGATGCTCTGTTGGTCCTTGGCTGAATCGCGATGCGCGTCGCTGGACGTTCAGGAGGTGGAAGGTTGGTGGGAGGCCACTTGAGAGCCCCTTGTTGCCCAGGGATGAATCAACCGCAGCTAGCTGCAGACCTGTAAGTTTTTGTTGTTGTACATACTCTCCCTTCTTCCCCGCTCCTCGACAAGCTTTTGCTTAGACATGGGTTGTAGTGAAGGAGGGGGTCTTTCTGGCGAGCAGGGCTAGACTCACCCCCCTCAAGGGATGACCGAAACCTTCTTGCTGCTGCGCATCCGCCGCGAGGCGTGCGTGTGGTGGTGGAGTTGGGTCGGCACTGATGTGGTCAGGCGGAAAATGTAGATGCGCGGGCCTTTCTGGCCGTCGGCGTAGGCAGTGATGCCCATTTCATTTTTGTGCGCGGAGGCAGACACCATCAGCAAGGTGGACGGGCACTACACGGCCCTAGGTTTGCTAGAGGGAGCTGTNCAGACCAAGAACCTTGAGTGCAATGAGGGAGAAAGCGAGGAACGGACTGGGAAGGACAGCAACGAGAGCGTGTACGGACGGAGCAGATCGAGTGGCGTTTTGCTCGGGCTGACTACAGCGGCGCCGGATGGAGCAGTGGCACCGGAGCATGCGGGCGACATTGACCCGTGGCGCACGGACAAACATTTCCATCTGTGATGTCATTTTTTTCGTTTTTTTTCTGACTTTCCGTGTTGGTTTTGTGTGA